GGCCCCTCTCACACTGCACATGTGACGACCATCCGACCCGGCAGGGCCCCTGGGGCATTTGTCTCGCGAAGTGAAAACATGTGCGCACAGAAGCCGCAGACAAACGCTCGCGGCAGCTGCACGTGTGACGGCCCCAACCCGGGAGCAACCAGATGCCCCTCGATGAGCGAGCGGCCGTTCCCGCGTCCCACGGACAGTGCTCGGCAATGAAATGGAGCCGACGCTGGCCCTGGCCGGTGTGGCTCGGGGGGGAGAGCATCCGCCTGCGGGCAGAAGGGTCCCAGGTTCGCTTCCCGTCCAGGGCGCGTCCTTCGGGTGCAGGCTCGATCCCTGGTCAGGGCCCATGCGGGAGGCCACCCATCAATGTGCTTCTCTCACATGGATGTTTCTCTGTCTCTCCCCCTCCCTTCCTCTCTCTCTAAAAATCAATGGGAAAAACATCCTCAGGGGAGGACTAACCAAGAAAATAAAAAGGAACAGATGTCTAGTGCACGCAGCCACCTGGTTGGGTGGGAGGGAATTCCGCGAGTGGACACAGCCCGTTCCCCGAGGTCCCGTCTGCGTGACTCCGGCCGACTATACAACAGGCTCAGATGTCGAAATGAGAGAGAACAAATGCGGGGTGGCCGGGGGTTGGAAGTGGGGGACCAGAGGAGGTGGGGGTGGCTCTGAGGGTAACAAGAGGGACCCTCCTGGTGATGGGGCTGCTCCATAATTTTTTTAAATACATTTTTATTGATGTCAGAGAGGAAGGGAGAGGAAGAGAGAGACAGAAACATCAATGAGGAGAGAGAATCATGGATCGGCTGCCTCCTGCACGTCTCTCACTGGGGATGAAGCCCTCAACCCGGGTATGAGCCCTGACCGGGAATCGAACCCGGGACCCTTCAGTCCGCAGGCCGACGCTCTATCCACTGGGCCACACCGGCCAGGACGGGACGCTCCATAGCTCAGCATTATCCCTGACAGCATCGGCTGTGGTGCTAGAGTTTTACAAGGTGTTATCCACGGACGTTACCAGGTAAAGGGCAAAAAATAAATAAATAAAACAATCGCAGGTAGAGGGTCCATGAGATTTCTCTGTATCACTTCTTATGGCAGCGTGTGCATCTCCCATTATCTCAAAATAAAAGTTTAATTACAAACAATTAAGATTTCATGGAAAAGAAATGTGGGCTCCTGACCTCCCTTGGAGAAGGGGGGGGTGTTGTCACCGGGGCTCCCGTGCCCACACCCATCCATCGGCTGAGTGGAGGGGCCGCCCCCTCAGACAGCAGAACGGGAAGCCTCCTGCCGCCACAGTCCCTCCCGCGCCCCCGTCTCACGCCCCGCGTTTAACGGAGGACTGTTTCCGGCCGCCCCGGACGCCTGGCGTGGCCCCTTGTCTTTGAACGATTCTCGTTTTCCTGCTTCAGAAAAGGCGATGGCCCGGAGGCAAAGGCAGAGGGAAACACAGTGAGATGAGCCGGCCTTTTGCACCCGTTTTCTCATTCAGAGACCTCAGCACCATTCGCCCAAGTTCACACTGAGAGACGAACGGGCAATGTCTCCGTGCCTTCGTTCACCAGGGCGGGGACTTCACGTTCCAGACGTAAAACGGGGAACTGAAGGCTGCGTCCATCTGAACGTCCCAGCCGCACGCACAGCCCAGCAGCTAGAGCCCGTGCCTCAGTGGCGAGAACCCTCCCAGCCCGGAGGCGACGGCTCCAGGTCCATTTGCTCAACGTTGATAGACGATAAAACCACTTTTAGGGCCAAACTCCATTTGGGGGAGGAGTGCTCGAGAGGTCCGCGTTTCACCGCCTCTGCACGCCCCGGTCCGCTGATGGGAAGGGCAGGGAGGGCACGAGCCAGGAAAAAGGGGCCAAGCTCTCACTCTATGAAGTTTAAAGCACAGACTGGAAAGAACAACTAGTGCTTATAGCACCAGGGCTCGCCTTCCGCCGGGAATTCTGAGGATGAAATGAAGGCGCCCCACCGACCCGCCGTGCCCCATGCGTCGGGCTCGCTCCTCCTGGGCAGCGGGCAGGAGGGGGGA